GGGTAGATCTACCCAATGTGGTAATAGCAAGGTTGCAGTTGCCGACGTCTCACGGGAAAATGCTAGTACCTAAACAAACATAAAAATTGTCTATCAATTTAACATTTTTTTACTTCCTGGGGATTCTGGCTTATTATAACTGTATACGGAAACTGATGATTCACCAGTGAGAATGTAAAATGAAGGAGCCTTTATCTATCACACTTATGTATAAAATATGGTTCGGCAAATGGTTTACTACAGAAATTGATGATTCGACAGTGAGAATGTAAAATAAAGGATCTTTCATCTATTACAGTTATGTATAAAATATGGTTCGGCAAATGGTTTACTATAGTTTTTGATACAAATTTGTGGTACAGCATTTGCTTTATTAGAAATGAATAGTATAAAATATTATGGTTTGGCAGTGACAGTTTTAAGTGAAACAGAGCTTTATTTGTTACAACCATGCATAAACAACGTTTCGACATGTTGTTGTTTACAATTCTGTAGCCATATTAATGATGAGAAATGCTATGGGTACTAACGGATTTTACTAACCAATGTACTAACTTAAAACATAGTACGGGTACTATACGCATAGTACGGGTACTATGTGTGATTTTAACAAAGGTTAGTACACTAGTTAGTACAATCCGCTAGTACCCAAAGTATTATTCATTAATGATAGGACAAAGAGATTTCGAAATAAAGGAGACCTTTATGTATTACAACTGTTGTTAAATTTTTGGTTCGGCAATGGCTTATTACAAGCATACCATCAATTTAATGGTTCGGCATTTGAGAATAGAGTCGACATTCACAGTGTGATCTCAAGGATACCTGGATCTGTTACAATTATAGATACGTTATTGTTCTGCAAGTGACTTGTTACAGTTCTATAGGACAATTATATATAAATGAATGGTTGAGCAATCAAATTTGGATCTCATGGAGAACTTAATCTATTACAATTTTAACTCGAAATTAAGATGAACCATGGCAATCTCAATTTGTCCTTTATTGATTTTCTCAGAATTCATTTCAATATTTTCAAAAGTTAGAATCGCTAAACTCATTTATATTAAACAACCTAAGTAATCTGATTTTTGCGTATCACAATCAATATTCCATTTCACAATCATACAAAAGTGGTTAACAAAAAGAGGATATTCGTTACCTTTAGTAGGAATTATATTGTAAATATAAGAAGCAATTTTTTCATCCAAATGTATATATCTATATTAAAGAACAATAAAAAAAATTAGAAAAAAAATACACAAGTAAGAAATATATAACAATGATGCATAAATTATAAAAATAAAATAAAAACAGAACGATAAAAACAACAAGGAAAAGTAAACCTTCAAGTTGTACAACATAACAACAAATTAAAATTCAGATAAATATCTATATATATACAACAATGTCATTAATTTCAATAACCGGTCGTAAACAACATTCCATAACATATGCAATGTATGAATCCTTGGCATTCACATACGTATGTATATATGTATTTACAAATCCCATTAATTTTACGTCATTTTTTTTTATACGATCAGATTAATTTCAATAACAGTTTATTAACAGTATTATATTACTAGAATCTAGTAAAATGGCGCACTATCGGCTGAATCTGACCGGTAATACGCCGATCTAGCATTTTCTGGCCAGATCCACGATGGATCTGACCGAAAAAGGCTAGATCTTTGGCCGTAGACAGTCGTCAACGATGGTCAAGATATGGTCGTTATTGACCATCAACGACAGCCGTATCTTTGGCCGTCGTTGATGACCAAATGCGGCCAGATCTAGCTGTCAATGGCCAGACTAGCCATAGATCTAACATTTTCTGACCAGATCCACCGTGGATTTGGTCGGAAAAGGTCATATCGACGCACGATCGACAAGATCCAGCCGGTCATGCACCGATACGGTGACTCCAGCCACCTTCCGGAAGTGGTGGTTGACTGTCCGTATTTAATGGGTAAGTTGGAGGTGTTTTTGTTAACTTTTAATATTTTATTGTAGGGGTGATTAGTAAATAAACAAACATATGAGGTATTTTTGTTAATTTTTAAATCTTACATCGTAATATCCATCTAATTTAATTTTTTTCAAAATATTATTCTAAAAAGTATCAGAATAATGAACCAAACGGACCCTTAGTTAAATATCGATTGCACGACACATTACGGAGCATAAGAATAGTTCGGCTCAAAATATTTCAATAGGTGAGATTCACAATACATAACTTTACATGATCGAACCTGACAATATCAATTGTTCCTATATTACAAATCGGTTTTATGATACCAATCATAACAATTCATCATCACCAAACCTTGAACAATATAATGTTTAGGTCCTCCATCTCCAACCATCTTGTACTTCGTCGGTAGAATATTAGTTTCATTTTTTCGTAAATCCAATTGAAATCAGTTTTACGATACCAATCCTCACCATTCACCACGACCAAACCTTAAACAATAAAATGCTTTGGTCCTCGTTCTATAAATCATGAAATTGTCCCTCAACTATTACCACATTATGTTACTTGGTGTGAACAATACGGACAAAAATTAATTGATTTTTATATTAAGATAGTTAGAGTATATATTTACACTTTGGCAGAACATAGTAACATTCTGATTCGATTTCATTAAAATACATGAATGTTTTCCCTAAAAACAAAATACACAAAAATTAATTGATTTTCATATTAAGATTGTTTAGAAATATGCTTTCTGTTCCATAGAACAAAACCAATTATTTATTTAAATAACAAGTGTTACCTAAAATTGAAATTAACAAAAAATAATATTTTTCAGTAGAACAAAAACAATTAACCATTCAAATAACAACTGATTTAATAGTCTGAATTCCTAATGCAAACATCCTGCCATAGAAACATCATGGCCTTGATTCCATTAAAATACATATATGCTTTTCCTGAAAACATTATCAACAAAAATTAATTGATTTTCATATTAAGATAGTTAAGTCAAATAACAACTGGTTTAATAGTTTGAATTCCTAATACAAACATCTTGGCACATAAACATCCTCGACTTAATTCCATTAAAACACATGAATGTTTTTCTTGAAAACATAATCAACAAAAATTAATTGATTTTGATATTAAAATAGTTAATAAATATACTTACAATTTGGTAGAACAAAAACAATTAAACATTGAAATAGCAACTGCTTTAACAGTTTCTTGGAACTTTGGCCCGTAACCAACAACAACAAAAAATCATCAATTAACATAATTGTAAAGACTAGCCATATTGTTGACACCAATTAACATATTGTGGTAATAGATAATGGAACCGACGGCCAATAAAACATCATGGACTTGCTTGCATCCTAATACATGGATCTTTCCCCTACAAACAACACTGTTACACCAACATCAAATCATCAACATTGATATCAACATGCTTAATGAATTGTTCAAATTAACGGTAATATTGACACCAACTAATATATTGTGGTAATATCGACTCATAACAAAATAGTCAAAATATATCATGAAATGTGAGGGGACAAACATGAATCTATATAAAAATATTTCGATGAATGTGAAGGGATTAACACCAATATTTATATCTTTATATAATTGTTATTTATTACGATAAATGTGAATATGAATGGTCTATGTATATGTAAAAATTAATCAAGTTTTAATTATATCTTTGGATGCTATTAATATTAAAAAATATCAAAAACTAATTACATTAAGCCTCATGTTAAAAAAATCCTACTCATGAAAATAACCCACATCATCACCGATAAAATTCCATCACGTGTCAATCATAAATCCAAGATGTTAAAATAGAGCTTTTGAAAGTTCAAATAGAGTAATTATATGGGCGTGCTTGGTTCAGTATTATTATCCAGATTCTGGATCAGATTTTTCAAATAATGTTTGTTTTATTATTTGCACAATCCAATCTGCAAAATATGTTTCCTGACAGTTTTCTGACTTTCTTTTTGACGTTGGCTTTTATTTTTATTTTTCTCAGCTTTCTCTTCACTGACATTTCCCACTTTTTTTTGTTACCGTTGGCTTTTATTTTTCTCAGCTTTTTCATTATTCTTCGCTGACATTTCCCACTTTTAACACTTCACCATTTTTAACTTTCTCAGTTCACCACCATTTTTAACTTTGAAAAATACATTGTGATCGTCAAAACGGGGCAGAATATGCCCGAAATAGAGAATGACCGATTCAATCGCAATAAGGTATTATAAACAACTATATGGGATAATATAATGAATACACTGTAGACAATACAGTGGACTATGTCATAGTTGTTAATAGAGTATACATGTAATAATGATTATAAGGGTTGATAATTAGTACTTTTGTCATATATGTAGTAATGTGGTGTTTTTAAACAGTTAGATTAGTACTTGAAATTAATATGGGTTTTTATTTTTTAATATCTATGGGTGACAAAATTACCAATAAAATATTTAGTATTATTAAAATGTAACTTGATAAATTATATATATAATAATATATTATTTTAACAAAATGTAACAAAATATTATATTAATAAATCATTTATAAAAAAATATATTAATCAAATATTCAACACAAATATCAAGGTCAAAATACTCTATTGTAAATCTTATTCTCGTAATTATAATCTTATCCAATTATCTAATATTATCTCTAAAATCTTATCCAAAATAATAAACCAAACGCACCCGATAGAACTTCCAAAATCCTAGAGTCAGTCAAATAAGTCATGCTTCATGATTTTATATATATATAGATCCGTAGGAATTTCTTCCTTTCATGTTAGGAGGTGTGGTGTTTAGCCCTTAATCAAGTTTCGAGGTTATTCATAACTGTAGCTGAAGGTGTTTGTATCAACTATCAAGTTCCCCGCCAAATAAACACTGAGCGGGAACAGTCGTCAAAACTCTCCAACCACCCATCTCAATCCCAAATCGTTCCTTGATTTCTCAGCCTCAAAACCTCTCCTAAAACCTCTTTATCAATAATTACAATGTCGACGGACCCAATCGAATCCTTCAAACCCTACACTTTAACCCAAACCCTAACCGGCCACCACCGCGCAATCTCCTCCGTCAAATTCTCCTCTGACGGCCGCCTCCTCGCCTCCTCCTCCGCTGACAAGTCTCTCCTCGCCTACTCCGTCTCCAATATTTCCAATTCCGATTCTACCCCGCTCCAACAATTCTCCGGCCACGAACAAGGCGTCTCCGACCTCGCATTCTCCTCCGATTCCCGCTTTCTCGTCTCCGGCTCCGACGACAAGAACCTCCGTCTATGGGACGTCGCCACCGGCTCCTGCCTCAAAACCCTCCAGGGTCACACTAATTACGTGTTTTGCGTTAACTTTAACCCTCAGTCTAACATGATTGTCTCCGGTTCTTTTGACGAGACCGTTCGAATTTGGGACGTTAAAAGCGGAAAGTGTCTCAAGGTTTTACCTGCCCATTCCGATCCCGTCACTGCCGTTGATTTTAATCGCGACGGCTCGCTGATTGTCTCAAGCAGTTACGATGGTTTGTGCAGAATTTGGGATGCCGGCACCGGACATTGTATGAAGACACTTATTGATGATGAGAATCCGCCTGTTTCGTATGTTAAATTTTCACCAAACGGAAAGTTTATTCTCGTCGGGACTCTCGATAATACTTTAGTAAGTTTTTCATTTTTTTTTTANTGTCTATGGAACAAATCCTCTAACGAATGGTGGTGCATGTGATCCTTAGACTTGAGATCACCGGAGCGCCTTGTGCACCGATTGGTGTAGTTTGACACTAGCCTAACGCAGTTCTTTTCAGAGCTGTCAATACGGTGGTGATTGGCTGCATCAAGGAGTGTATCAAGACTATGGTGGATTGACAGAGGATTTATCACTCCCGGGTACGGGAGAAAGTTATCTCACGGCGCAATTCAGTATATGGCAATGACACTAAAACTGTGGCCACAGTGGGATTGAGTTGTTGCTCTATCCAGTTTATAATACGGGTCATTGGTCCAGAAACTGAATAAATAATATCGAGAGTAACCGAAGGTTGACACTATTTCTATGCCTTCGTCTCGTCGAGATAACGTATGATGAAAGGATCGAATTGTACGGTAACCATATCGTTGACAGGTAGCTACTTTGCTGAATCCGAATCTATCGGGTGGCCATGATGCCTTGCTAGGGGCCAATCTTGGTCTGTGTATTAATGAGACAATTAATTGGTGTTAATCGCGATACTATACACTGCCAGTATGATGAGGAGCCTATGGGTCACACACATAGAAGATAATTTAAGAGCCAAGAAGAAAGAAGGACGTTTTCGTCTTTTTGGGCGAAATGATATTTTGGTAATTTCATAGTGCAATTAAATTTGCTGGGGTCGTAGCCTTTATTTAATTTGTTAGAAAAATTAAATAAGTGAAATTACATTTAAATGTGTGTTCACACATATTTAATTAAATCATCATTATTGTTAAATTTTAATTAAATATTAATTGATTTTAATTGAGATAATGATGAATTAAATTAAAATATCTAATTGGGAGTGTTTGGCAACATGAAGTGTTTGGGTTAGAGCCCAAGCCCATTCTATGTGGAAATAGGGTAACTAAGTTTGCCTATAAAAGGAATAGTGTTTGTGTGATTTGATGATAATTCACTTTTGCCTTTTGATTAAAAAGAAAAACACACACAACCCATATCTTTCTCCCACGCCACTTTAGTTTGTGCCAAAACAAAGTTTTTCTTCTTGATTTCTTAAGGTCAAGGAGGATCTAGTAAATCTCTCCTTAGTTCCTTGTGATTATCTTCGTGTGGACTTCTACAGTTTGATCCTACACTTGGATCGGTAGCAAACACGTTCAAAGATAATATTTGGTGGAGCCTCCAACGTGGGTATGAATCTAAACTTTAGATTTACTTTTCTGCAGATTCTTGATATAATACATAAACTGTAAAATTTGTGCCTTGATTTTGGGTTATAAGGAACGATCCATGGTTGTAAAAATTTTTGTTTTCTGCTGCGTAATCGGATCGTTTCCTAACAAAGGCTGTATAAGGATTTAAAATGGGAGGGATAATATCTTGGATTTTTTGATTTTCTGGGATATAAGATATTCATACAAACTATCTACTTTAGAAGAAGATTTAGATAAACTATTATTTATTGAAGCAATAAATGTAGATAAAGTTGAAGAGGATTCCATATAAGTGAGTTCAACCTCTTAGATGTGTAATACCATCTCAAATTGTAAGAATAACTCAAGACCCAAATATAAAACATAACTAAGAATTAAAGGAGCCAATATCCGAGGGGAGATAATCTTTCACACACACAAAAATTGGAACCAACAAGTAACTTAAAGAAGCTAATATCCGAGGGGAGGTAGTCCTCCGCATATAGAAATTGTAATTCTCTATTAGTTTAATATTAAAATTGAACCAATCTTCTTCTCCTAGTAAATCTGATATCATCAAATTGTAAATGTATTTCCTATTTATGTTTGCTGGTCCCATGAGAGGCAAGTAAGGAATGTTGGGTCGCCATGTCTTTTTTTGGAGAAATTTTATGGTGTCTATGTTGGTATTCTTGACGTGATACTACAAGACAATGCATATATGTCAACTAGTTATTAAATTTATAACTATCAATTACAATTAAATTAAGGATAATATTATACTTACAATCAAATCT